GGCAGAGGGACAGGGAGAAGCAGATTCCCTGCTGAGCAGGGAGCCCTATGCTGGAATCCATTCCAGGACCCTGGGATCATGACCTGAGCTGAAGGCAGGCGCTCAGCTGACTGAGCCACCCAGGTGCCCTCAGCCATTATTTCTTGAAATAATCATTCTTCTGGGCCTCTCATAATGCACATGTTGGTCTCTTTGATCTGTCCTATAGGTTCCTTAGGCTTTTTTCACTTTTCTTCATTGTTTTTTTCTTTCTGCTCTTCAGACTGTAATTTCAATTTGGGCCTTGTTACTGCTAGTGAAAGTCCTGACTCTGCCAGTTCTCATCTTGAGAGGGGGTAGGTGACAGGGTACCTCGTTACTTCCTGATAGGATAGAATTTCAGGCTCCCTACTTAGCCTTTTCTCACATCACCTTAGCTGGGTTGCTGCAGTGGGGCACCTCATTGCAGCCAGGCCAACGTAAGAGTCTAGGCTCTCCACTTGTCCTTTTCTTGTGTGGGTGGGTTTAGTGCCACATTGTTACTGTGGTGTTTGGATCGAGTAGAGGGGCTATTGACCAAAAGTTTTCTGTTTTTCTATGCCATAATTCGAATTGTATTTCTCCTGTAGCTATGTCATTTTCTGTTGCTGGTTTTAAGATTTTTTTGTCATTTTTATTCAAATTTTAATTTTATTTAAAATTTTCAGGAATTTGTGATAATATTGTGATTCTTTCAGTTTATCCTTTCTGGGGTTTGCTCACCTTCTTTTATCTGTAGGTTTGTATCTTCTGCCTAATTTGCAATGTTTTCAGACATTTCTTTGAGTACTTTTTCAGCCCTATCTTCTTCCTCTCCCTCCAGGACTATAGTGACTTTTATTCTTTGTTGAAAAAGGCTAACTAGGGAGCCTGAACTTCTATATATTTTTTTAGTCCTACAGATCCCTGAGGCTCTGTTCTTTTTTATTTTTTCCATCCAAGTCTGTTTTCTTTCAGTTCAGTTTGAATAATTTCTATATTTCCCTTCAATGATTCTTTCTTCTGTCTTCTCCATTCTGCTGTTGGTTGGGGTTTACTAATAATTTTTTTAGAATGGTGTTTTTTGTTTTCGGGTTTTTTTTTCAGTTTTAGAGGTAGAGTTTAGTGATTCATTAGTTGCACGTAACACCCAGTGCTCATTACATCAAGTGCCCTCCTTACATCAAGTGCCCTCCTTAATGCCCATCCCCCAGTTACCTCATCCCCCACCCACGTCCCCTCCAGCAACCCTCAGTTTGTTTTCTATAGTTAAGAGTTAGAATGGTGTTAATGTTACAGAAAAGCTAAGCAGATGGTACAGAGTTCTCATGTGATGGTCTTTTATTGATACCTTAAATCAGTAAGGTAACATTTGTTGCAATTAATGAACTGGCATTAATATATTTGTTATTATGTAAAGCCTGTACTTTATTCAGATTTCCTTAACTTTTATATAATGTCCACTTTCTGTTCCAGGATCCCATCTAGGATACCACATTATATCCAGTAATCATGTTACCTTAGGCTAGTCTTGGTTATGACATTTTCTCAGACTTCTGTTGTTTTCGATGACCTTGACAGTTTTTAGGATTTAGGTATATTGTAAGATGCCCCTCTGTTGGAATTTGTCTGAAGTTTTCTCATCATTAGACGGATTGGAGTTACAGGTTTTTAGGAGGGATGTTACAGAGGTGTTTACTTTTTACACTGCCATTTTCATCACATCATAAGAGTACATCTATCAACATGATTTAAAATGACTGTTGAAGTTGATGTTGATCACCTGCTGCAGTAGCATTTGTCGGGATTCTGCATTGTAAAGTTTCCACCCCATTTCCATGTTGTACTCTTTTTTTTCCTTTTTTGGAGAGAGAGAGAGTGTGTGCCCAGCAGGGGAAAGGAGCAAAGGATGAGGGGGAGAGAGAGAGAGAGAATCTTAAGCAGGCTCCATGCCTTGTGCTAAGCCTGAGGCACGGCCCTGAGATCAGGACCTGAGCTGAAATCAAGAGTCCACCCTTAACCAACTGAGTCACCCAGGCTCTCCCCTTGGGAGCACTTTCACTTGGCTCCTGTGTTCTTTTGACATACCCTATCCATTGATTTTTAAAATTTGTTACTGATTTTTTTCAGTCCTAGAATTTCCATTTTGTTCTTCTTTATATCTTCTATTTTTTTATATGAATTTCTGTTTTTCGTTGTTAAGTGTATTTTTATTCTTTGTTGAAACATTTTTATCATGGCTGCTTTAAAAATCTTTGTCGTAATTCTAACATCTCTGTACTTTCATTGTTAGTATCTACTGATTGTCTTTTTCCATTTATTTTTATTTTTTTATTATTTTTTAAAGATTTTATTTATTTGAGAGAGAGAGAGAGAGCAACAGAGGTGTGAAGGGCAGAGGGAGAAGCAGACTCCCTACTGAACAGAGAGTTCGATGCAGGAATCGATTCTGGGGCTCCAGGATCATGACCTGAGCTGAAGGCAGACAACTAACCAGCTGAGCCACCCAGGCACCCATCTTTTTACATTTAAATTCTTGTTTTTCTGGGTTTTGATAGGATACGTGATTTTTTTTTTTTAATCGAAGCCTGGAAATTTTGGGTATTATGTTACTATATTCTGGATCTTAGATAAACCTTCTGCTTTAGCTGGTTTTATTTGACACTGCTGTGGTAGGGGTAGGAAGGCCTAGCCTCAGTTTTGACAGGTATAGGTTGAAATCCGGGCTGTCCATTTGGCCTCTCTTGACACCCATTGAGGTGGGAGGAGCTCCTTGTTATTGCTGGATGAGGGTAGAATTCTGGTTCCCCTCTGGGCTTTGGCTGATCCACCCTAACTGGGAGGAGTAGGATTATCTCCTTACTGCTCCCTACAGCTATGTATCCACTGACACCAAATGATTCCATTCTAGTGGATATAGAAAATATTTTTTACACTATCATTAAATGAAATAATTATTTAAAAAGTTTTTTATCTTTTATTCTGTAAAATATTATTTTCATGTTTAATTCATATATTGCATGTTCATAGTTTACAAGTAAATAAATGGAAATCCATGTATACATTGTTACTTGACAAAGGGACACAATCAGACATGTTTGGAGATCACTATACAAGATGCTATAGTGAATGTCTTTTCCTATAGCCTGGGCGAACTAAAACTCTATGGTGATCTTTTCTTACCCTTGCCCTCCCCTCCCCTGTTTGTTTCTAACATTTAACTTGGCTGCCATTGTTTATATCCCCATTGCTGAATTAGTTTCTGGAATATACTGATACAGGTAATTAATAATCTAGATCCTGGAGTGGAGACTATATACTTAACACTTCTCTTTCAATATTTTATTTTCCACTTTCTTGCATAATATTTTGACTTTAATGGAAAGCAGGATGCTTTATGCAAGGAGTAAAGATGTAAAGTATTATGTGCTGTAAACTGTCATGTGCTCTAAAAAGAGTTTCCAGAACAACCCATTTGCCAATAATGAAAACTGTACCTGCATAATCTTCAAATCACTTAATTTAGAATGCTTTGAGGTACCATAGGCTGTAATGAGATCTTAGAATATGTTGTCATCTAAGAGAAATAAGTAATTTTTTTTGGCTAGGTCTACTTAGAAGCAAGTAAGTTTAAGGGTCTATTTATATTTATAATTTGTTACCTGTTATTGTTTTATCATTAAATGATTTTTTTCCTATAGGATAATTAAAATAATTTAATAATGGCAGTGGGGATAGAACAGATAGGCATTTTTTGTTTTTTAAGATTTTATTTATTTATTTTGAGAAAGAGAGAACAGCTGGGAGAGGGGCAGAGGCAGAGGGAGAGGGAGGCGCAGACTCGCCGCTGAGCAGGGAGCCTGAAGCAGGGCTCAATCCCAGGACCCCGGGCCGAAGGCAGACTCTTAACTGACTTGAGCCAGCCAGGCACCCCCCAGATAGGCATTTTTAAAAGTCGGAATGAGTTTGTAAGACACAAACAGATAATTAAGAATCAACTTTGACAGATTGCTTATTTACCTTTCAATTAAGCAGCCTTTTTTTATATGTTTTTTTTTTAAAGTCTTTTAAAATATTTTTTTAGGTAGGTAGCCATCCAAGCTTCCTGAAGGAGGTTCGAGACCACATGCAGGACTCTTTCTTAATGCAGCCTGAGGTAAGCAGGACTGTAGCTGTGGTTAGCCCTTGACAATTTCATGTACTGCTACTGTCTTTATTATGTAACTGAAAAATCATGTGCATTTTGAAGTATATTAAAATTTATGAACTAAAAATATGTCAGATGATAATTTTTTCCTTATGTTATCGTAGGTAAACTTTATTTCACAAATTTTACATGTATTGTGATTTATTTAATTTGCTTTTAGGTATTTTTATTAAAAATTATCTTCAGATAAAAAATTTATGCGCAGTACCTTGTCCACAATAGGCATTTACCTACGATATAAAAGGTCCTCTCTTTTGTGCCTACCTGAAAGATATTAAAAACCCTTTATTTTTTAAAAATTTCCAAACTCCTATTCCTTTATCCAGATGAATAGATTAGTACATAAATACGTGGATAATAAATGTATACAATTAATAATTTTAACTGTAGTACAAGGAATTCATATTGACCTACTACTGCTATATATGATTGATCTAAATACCTTATTCACATTTTAAAACATTAATGTCCCTTGCAGCAAATGGAAAAAAAATTACTTCTTGTTTAGGATCCAATCCTGGATTATAGGCCATTATTTCTTTAAAAATATTTGTCTTTTCCCCCCTTTCCTTCTTCTGAGACCCTAATTCCGGATATATTAGATTTCCTGCTATTGTCCCATGGTCCCTGTGGCTCTATTATTTATTGGTTTTCTTTTTTTGGTCTTTTTTTTTTTCTGCATTTTGGAGAGTGTCTATTGTTGTATCTTTAATTTTACTAATCTTTTCTGATACACTCTTAGTCCCATATGGTTTATTTTATGTCTCAGATCTTGTATTTCTCATCTCTAGAAGTTCCATCTGGGTCTTTTTTATATCTTCTATTCCTTTCCTCATTATGTTCATGTTTTCCTGTACTGCTTTCTTGAATATATCAGCATATTTATCATAGCTCTTTTAAAATTTTTGCCTACTATTTTCTTAGCTGTCATTTCTAGATCTGTTTCCACAGCTTGATTTTTTAACTTTCTATATAATGAGTTATATTATGTTTTGTGGAATGTTTAAAAGCCATTGTTTCATATCTTTTGTGTAGCTTTCTGGTTTTTTAAAAGTGGGAGATTAAATCTAGTCTATCATAGCTGGGGTTGGAAGTCCTGTCTGCTTTAATCTGAAATAGTTCCCTAGTCTTTGTCTTTCATGACCTTGACATTTTTGAATACTATAGGACATTTAGTAGAGTGCCTCTCAATTTCAAGTACATCAAGCTTTTATCTCTTGAGTACTTTCCCATGTGGTTCACTCACTTGGTCAAAATATAGTAAAAGAAATGTATTACATACAATGTAAAAGAATAAATTAGGGGGAAGTTTTATTTAAAATCATGTGATGATTAATTTTGATATTCATATAGAATTGGGTAAAATTTAAATGTAAGGTACCAATTTTCAATGAGTAGACTGAAAATGAGCCAATTTGCCATAAACTCCCTATTATATTTACCTTTACCTTACCAGTATCTTGTTTTAATTAGTTCTACCTTATTCTTCTTCACTGAATTTGTAAGTAGGTTTATTTTCTCCCATGTCTGCATGGGGAATATAATAATTGTGAATTTGTTACAATTAATTTCATTTTTAACTCACTCAATGTATATTTATAGGATGAATGAAATTTAAATATTTTGATTGTTTACACATAAAACAGAAAACATGGCATGAACGGATATTTCTTTTTTTACTAATGTTCTTTCATTAAATGGGTCCTTTTATTTTTGAAGTGGTGGCTGTGTTAAAATATTTTCAATATTAATGATTCTATCTTTCTGATAGTACTTTCTCATTCTCTTCAGATAAAAGTATTTGTCAGTGTGGACCAGTTGCTTAGCTCCTTGTTTACTTGACCCAATTCAACTGGTCTACTTTTTATTGGTACGTCTTAAAACTTACTAATTACTTAACCATTCTGCCAATAAAATTGTCAACTTGAAGGATGTTTCTAATAAGTTAAAAAAAAAAATCTAATCCAGGATTAGATTAGATGGTTGGACTTCATTTATATTGATAAAAGAATTCTTGATGGGTGCTGCTACATGCAGGTCTTGTACAAACATGTGAGAGCTGCTTTTTCTCTTTGTAATCCTGTGATCTAATGGCAAGTGTCCTGATATTTTTAGTATTCCTAATTTGTACTGTGATGCCAGATTTTAAAAATTCTTTTTTCTTTCATTGTCTTATTGATGTGTTTTCTTTGACTCTTTTCCCATTATGAAAATTTGAATTATTACATAGGCCTTAGGAAAGTATTTTGTCATTTCAAGCAAAAAACCAGCATTCTCCTCTAATGTCTTTGTAACACTGGGAAAGTCATAATTAGACTTAATAGGTTTGCAGTTATTCTTTTCTGTTCCTTGTTACCATTCTTTTACTGTTGATAAGTATTTCTTTTTGCAGTGTGTGAGAGATTGAAGAATGGGTTCATTTCCACTTTGAAAAGTAAAACTTAGGACTTCCGCAAAGTGATATTTAAGTAAATGGGGAATAGGCAGCCTTGCTTATTTTTTATGGTATCATAAAAATATTTTTTTTATGGTACCAGTTATGTTTTTCTATAAAGTTTTTTTTTTCTTTTTTTGATGTTGATGTTAGTTATTTGTTTTCGGTTATTTTACTTTCAATTTATTACCTTTATTTTCTAAAATCCTGTGGCGCTCATGAAATTTGTCCATGCAGTTTACCCATTTTGTTATTTTTGGCCTAACTGTCATCTTCCCTGACATCTATTAGTCATCCATTCATGGAACATTTTGAGGCCTTTTAATATCATTATATTGTACTAGATGCTGTTGGGTATGATGATGAATAAAATAATCTCAACATCAGGTGGAAAGATGGTTATAATTATTTTGTAATATGATATGTGATATTTGATTTAGCAGCTTTTGATAGTTGTGTAACCACTCAGAAGAGAGAGCAAATACAAGTTGCACATTTTAAAGACTTGCTTTTCTTTATGTTTGATTTCTAATTGTGACTATCATGTTTTTAATACAAATACACCAGTTCATCTGCTGTATTTGTATTTTTGTAAGACTATATTTCAGTAATACTGCTTTTGTCTAGTAATTTTCAAAGTGTATCTCCTTTGGTCTTACCATTATATATTTTACCTTGTTTCTTTGAATTACGTGTTGGCAAATATTTACTCTTGCCAGAAGGATTGACTATTCTTATCTATTGACTAATTATTAGCTTTAGTTAATAGCCCAAAATCCTGTTAAATGACATTTTTTTTAGTTTAAAAAAATTTAAAATAATGGTGTTTTATTGTGGTTGAATGAGGTTTTAAACGTACTATACATAGGTGGTTAATTGGTTTTAAGAGAACTTCCAAAAGTTCTTGAGACAACAGCACAGCTCAGTGGAAAAAATATTTAACATCAAATTTTTCCTCTGAAGGACTGTAGTCATTTGATTATTAAGGCTTACACTTTGTAGGTCCATTTAATTTCTTCTATCAAATGACAAAGAAGTGTGTCATGGTAAACAGAAAACACTGTGCCTTTGTTTTTCAGTTTATACTTTACCTGTAGGTGGGGATTTTTTAAAACTAATTAATAGAGAAAACCCTATTTTTTGTAGGAGACTTAGCTGAGATCATTACTTTTGTTTGAACCTGATTTAGCTGAATTGTAGTTAACAGTTTGCATCCAGATGAAGATTTCTGACCCACTAAACCTGATTAGAGATTAACAGAATTGTTTTGCAGAGAAAAGGTGTACTGAAAAATATGATAATTTTTTCTAATTAAATTACAGTTTTCTTAATTATCTTTTTATGTTTCAAATTTTAGAAATATGGAAAACTGACCACTTGTACTGGTTGCCGAACACAGTGCAGGTTTTTTGATATGACTCAGTGTATAGGTCCTAATGGATATATGGAGCCATATTGTTCAACTGCTTGCATGAACAGTCACAAGACAAAATATGCAAAATCACAAAGTAAGTTTCAGGTATTTGGAAAGCTAAAAAGCCTTAATAATATGACTAATTTTTTTTTTTTTAAGATTTTATTTATTTGACAGAGAGAGAGAGACAGCGAGAGAGGGAACACAAGCAGGGAGAGTGGGAGGGGGAGAAGCAGACTTCCCGCGGAGCGGGGAACCCAATGTGGGGCTCAATCCCAGGACCCTCTGGGATCATGACTTGAGCCGAAGGCAGACGCTTAACGACTGAGCCACCCAGGCGCCCCAATAATATGACTAATTTCTTAACTACTCTTTCCCCTAACTTTGTTTTTATACTTGTATTTAACTGTATAAGCAATTTTTATTTATCACATTAAACTTTCTTACTGCAGACCTTTTTTAGTGGTTTTGACCATTCCATATTTCTTTGATTTTCTTTAATTTTAAGTTATTGGTGAAGTTCTGTCCATGTCTGCATTCTTAGTTGAAATTGTTTTTCCTTCCAAAGATCTAAAATTGAGATTGTTTCAGGTATCCATGTATATTTTAGAGACATGATGTTAGAGTCTCTATAATGATATTTTTTAAGGTGCAAATTATCTTGGAAATTAATAAAAGAATAGCTTATAGAAGCTTCCGTTAAAAAAAATTTCCCAGAGGTCAATTAAAATTTTGTTCTAGACTTTTTATCATTTTATAAAGAAATCAGATATGTATCTTTTCTCTTCTAGGTTTGGGAATTATTTGCCATTTTTGTAAGCGAAACTCTTTACCTCAATATCAAGCCACAATGCCAGATGGGAAACTGTATAACTTTTGCAATTCCAGTTGTGTGGCTAAATTTCAGGTTTGTTATTTATTTTGGATAACTCTCACTCCCAATAAAATACACGTAGAAGATAAACAGTGTAATATGCTTTATCTTTATTAAATGTGCTAACTTGTATGTAGTTTGTTGAGGGTCAAACTGCAGGGTGGAGATTATAGAGTCATAGTAGTAGACATAGCTGCAGCAGCTCACTACTTAGCATGGATAATCTAATTGACTTTTTAATTGTTTATGGTAGAGACTTAAAGGAAAATAAATTTTAGTATAATTGAGCTCAGTGCCTGATGTGTACTATATTCTTAGTCAATGGTTTTAGTAATATGTGACTTTTAAGGGGAATTCTGTTTTATGATAAATGGATGAAGGACATAGGTATATTTAGCCTGGAAGTGATGAGCATAAATGTTTTCTTCATATATTAGAAATACGCCATGTAAAACGGGGATGGGACTTGGTACAGTAGACCCTAATTTAATATAAGATCACTTTAGGGAGACCCTTTTCATTTTCGTAAACGTAAAGAACTTTCTGGCATAGTTCTTTAAAGTTGGATTATGGATAATCTTAGAAGGTAGTATTACTGCAAGTGTTCAAACTTAAATTCATTGACTACTTGGAAGGAATAGTTGAAAAGGGAATTTAGCATTAGTTAAGTGGTGTGAGTAGGTAGGTTTACCTTGCTGTAGGTGAAAATTTTCAAGGTACTCAAAGGTTCAGACCAGTGCATAAAGCAGTGCTTCATGATAATCTTCCAACAGTTCTACAGTGCTGCAGACACTGCGTACTGTTATTTATTTATTTATATTTTTTTTAAAAAAGATTTTATTTATTTATTTGACACACAGAGAGACAGCAAGAGAGGGAACATGAGCAGGGGGAGTGGGAGAGGGAGAAGCAGGCCTCCCGCCAAGCAGGGAGCCCGATGCAGGGCTCGATCCCAGGACCCTGGGATCATGACCTGAGCTGAAGGCAGACGCTTAACGACTGAGCCACCCATGCGCCCTGTTCTGTGTTATTTAAATTGAAAATGTAGTCCATTAAGTATGTTAGAGTAGTTACAACCATTATTAGCATTTAAATTGAGGTAGTTTTTAATTTAGCCAGGTGAATGTTGTTTTTATTAATACATCCTTGACTGAATTTAGGTAATAAACCATTTTCAAGACTAAACTTTTATTTTGGAAGTTGGGATCATGGCCATTGATACATCCTTAGAGTGGTAAATACTGCTTCCGACTTGTTGGCTTTTCTTAAACTAGAAGTTAAGGAGTAAGGATTAATTAGATGAGAGAACAGTAGTTAGTGTCTTTGGCATGCTGCTTCTCAGATTTCAACTTTATTTTTGATGTTGGTAAACTGTAAATGCTAACAGAAAATGTTTTAACTACTTTTTTTATTTAACTGAAACTTGTATTACCCATGATTTGAAGAGACAATTTGTATATGTACATTGTATATTTTAAAGAAACACTTAATGTAGACTGTTATTTCTGGGGAATGTATCCAGATAAGTGTTGGCAGCCTCATCACTGTAACTCTGCATAAAAGTGATACAAAGAATAGAAAAGCAGCATTTTTTCCCTTTATCTTAAAACACACCATAGATTTTGAATTTTATGTTTTCATTAGATGATGTTTCCATTTCATAATAAGGTAATAGGATAGTATTCATTTATTTTGAAAGAATAGTTAACCTTAATGGACTTACACAGTTTTTTTTGAAACATCAGGGCACAGTTGGTTTTTATTTAAAAAATGTATTCACCTAATAGTGACCTATCTTAAATCTGCATGTTTTCTTTTTTAACAAATTTTAATTGTGTTGTACAATGTATGCAGAAGTTTTAAAAAATGATAAGGTTTTTTGTATAAAGATTCTTTCCTCTCTCCACTGCACCCCTGAAAAATTTTTTAACTTATACACATTCAAAAGATTATATGTAATGTGTAATATATATTAGAGAATGATAAATATCAGCATACTCACCACTCAGGTTACAAATTAGAACAAAACTTTTTTTTTAAAGATAGATTTATTTTAGAGAGAGAGATACCGCACCACCCACAGACACCCCCCCAAGCACCATCCCCCCCCAGAACCCCCCCACACCCCAGCATGGATGTGTGTGGGCATGCCTGAGTGGGAGGGGGGAGGGGCAGAGGGATAGGGAAAGAGAAAATCTCAAGCAGACTCCCTGCTAAGGGCAGAGTCTTATGCGAGGCTGGATCCCACAACCCTGAGATCATGACCTGAGTGGAAACCAAGAGTTGGATGCTCAACTGACTGAGCCACCCAGGTGCCCCTAGAACAAAACTTTTTAAGCCCGTGTATGCTTATATCTTTCCTTTTTTTTTTTTGAAGATTTTATTTATTTATTTGACAGAGAGAGACACAGCAAGAGAGGGAACACAAGCAGGGGGAGTGGGAGAGGGAGAGGTGGGCTTCCCGGGGCTTGATCCCAGGACCTTGGGATCATGACCTGAGCCGAAGGCAGATGCTTAACGACTGAGCCACCCAGGGGCCCTGCTTATATCTTTTCTTATTCTGTAAATTGTTTTAACTTTTTAAAATGTAATAAAACTAAAATTATTGGTATCAATTCCAGTCTGTAAATCTTTTTTCCCCTAACTTTGTAAAAGAAATGATCAGTTTTAAAAAGTATTATGGGCTGTTTTCACTGATGGAATTAAAATGATAGCAATATTGCATGTGGGACAAATTACTACTTAAAATACCTATTGGAGAGAACTAGGAGCCAGGTTTTTTTTTTTTTAATGTTTAAATACTAGTTCAGAACCTGGTTAACCTTAACTATTATTTGCTCAGGTTTTTTTTAAAGGTAAAAAATAATTTTTGAGCTGTATGATTTTTCCTTTTTCATGTAATTTTAAAATAAGTGGTAGTAATCCTGAATAAAAAATGAATTTCAGTTTCATAAAACTTAGTGTACTAGTAAGTAATTTTTAAATACAAAATTCAGAAATACAATTTTATGTGAGGAAATATTTAAGCAAGAAACATACTATTTTCTGGACATAGTCAAAATTTAACAATAGTTACAAATAATTCTAAAAGTATGTTTTGTTCTTTGTTTTAGGCTCTAAGTATGCAGTCATCTTCAAATGGTCAGTTTGTAGCTCCAAGTGATATACAGTTGAAATGCAACTATTGTAAAAATTCCTTTTGTTCAAAGCCAGAAATCCTGGAATGGGAGGCAAGTCCTATTTTATTATATATATTGTCTTGCTTAAATAAGAGTCTAGTAAAATAATAATGGTGTTTCCATTTGATGACTGATTTCTTAGTGGACAAGGATTAGTTCTTCAGATTTTGTGATGATTGAATTATTTACTTCCTTTTGTGGGAAGAGCATCAACAAAGGATCTGTTTATTAAAGTCATATCCTTTATACATTATATTTGTAATAGTGTACAGGACGTTACTTTGTTTAGCTACATACTTGGAGCATCTGTTTGTACTGTATTTTTCCATTTTACCCCCATCCTTATTAAATATCGTCTGAACTATAATATTTTGTATTGCCTGCTACCTGCACAGATTAGAATCTGTTAGTCATTTACCATGTTGTCATTTAACATTTTATAATTGTTTTAATAAAAGAATCCTAATATAAATGTATTTTATTTTCCCTTTCTCATCACTCTTGCCTTCACCACTTTATTAATTTACTTTGCCATATATTTTTGCCATTAGCAACACCTGATCATTATTTTTTGTTTAAATAAGGGAGCAGTGATGGATGAATGCATGGACGGATGGATTTACAGGTGGACCTGGCTGAAAATTGCTTTCTTGATCAGTGTTCATCTTTGGCCATTCTTTCTTTTCATCTTTTTTGAGGGCATGGAATATGTAATAAAATGGTGTACAAGACATAGTACTAACAGTAGATTGCTTTTGAACTACAATTTTTAGTGGCTATTGGTAAGTCAGTAGCTGAGTCCTAGGAGAAAGGTGATAACCAGAATCTGACTAATGATTACTAAAGTACTTTGGAAATCTAAAATTTCATTATTTTAACACTTTAGTCCCTAGAAAATTATTGAGCATTTAAACCAATTATTCTTGGAGGCTACTGTTGGCACCCAGTGATGATTTTTAGTGACTAACACCCTCTTTAAATCATAGCAGGAAAAATGTTGAAAGTCTAGTAAGAATAAAGGAATAGTAGGGGATGAGGAATGAAATCCATAAGCAAGCACAGAGAATAATGTTATGTAGGGAATAAAGATCCTGCCTAGATTGAATTTTTATAATATTAGATGAAATTGAGGTCCTTTCTACCATCTCCATGTAAATGCTACCTGGCTTTTGTAGTCTTGGTGTTGCTTTTATTTACATGGAGGTTAAGTTTTGGAAGGAGTTAAGAAACACTGTCTATCAAACTGAGAGTTGAGCCTGTCACTCAGGCGATTGAGAATTCAAGGGCCTCTTTCTTCTCATTCCACTGTTGGCAGTTGTATTTTCTTTGTTGCTGTTTTTCCTCTTATAAGTTATATGTCCACAATGGGGCAACTTTCCACTGATTGCCTTATTACTTGAGTTGGTTCCTAGACTCTTTCACCTTCCTTGTCTTGGTCTTCAGCTGTCTTTGCCCCCTGTTAGGTAGATGGATTAGACCTAGTCTATGCCCTCCATAATAACAGAGGGGAAATTATATGCCCTGGGAATTATAACTTGTTTGTGTTTGGCTGGTTTCTGGAAAGTAACTCTGGCTATTGTAGGTTTGGGGCCAGTAGAAATGACTAAATAATGCTAACCTAGCTCCATTCAAGGGAACCAACTCAGTCTAAAGTTTAGCAGCACACTGTATCATGGCCCCGAATTGAATACTTTATGCATAATAGGTCTGTTACTATAAGCGGCGGTAGGAATGTGATTGAGTCTACTTGACTGTACTCATCAAAGAATATTTCTTTTTGAGTGAAACTGATGTTAATGTCATATTTCTCATCTTTTTGTAGTTTACCCATGTTGTATCTTCCATTGCTTTCTTCCCATTTCTCCAGTTCTCTTAGCAACACCAGACTGCCATCTTGTTCTAGTGATACTTTTACAATTTCACTGAGTAATTTTGGGGTAGTTAATGGTATTGAATTTTGTGGAGTTTTTTCTGAGAAAAAAAAAAAAAGAAATGTATCCCCAAGGATTATCAATCACATTTAACTGGGTAAATGATTTAACTTTGTTTCTGTAAAAGTGACTTGTTTATTTCTTAAACTTGTTCTTGAGGTGGTTGTCATATACTTACCAAGGTTCCCATTGTGCATTTAGAACAAAGTGCATCAATTCTGCAGCAAAACTTGTTCAGATGACTATAAGAAGTTGCATTGCATAGTTACATATTGCGAATACTGTCAAGAGGAGAAGACTCTTCATGAAACAGTAAATTTCTCTGGCGTTAAGAGACCTTTCTGTAGTGAAGGCAAGTGTATATACAGTGTTGTTCATAATTTTTATTAATATTTAATGTTAATTTTTTGCCCAAATATTTTAAATATATAACTACATGTATCCAGAGTAGCTGTACAATTTTAGTGTAGCTGAACAAAAAAAATTGAATTTGATTTTCTACTGACTTGTTTTGTTATTTTAATTTGTAGACCTCTGGGCCTCAAGGTATTTTATCTCTAAAAATTTAAAAACCTTTTTTCCCATTAAAAGGAAGTTTTGAAAATAAAAGCATTATTATATGTCATTTCTAAACATAGAAATTGTGATCTGAAAGTTGATTTTACAAGTGGATTAGAATTATTTTCCATTGGGTTCATTTCCCTGCCCAGCTTTGTGCCTAGCCTACAAAGGTTTTCAGTATACCAGAAAGAAAATCATATGTGGCATTACTACAATGGGAAAATACTTTTAGGTTTTTAATTTGGGATGCCAGGCAAACACTGGCTCTTGTTATTGTATATTCAAGAATTCTTTTCTCCTCTCATTTACACTTTTGCTGCTCTGGTACCAGGCAGCTGATTATAGAAATAAATGCCTGTTCTCATTCTAATTCTCCAGAGATAGGAACCAGGACTGTAACTATGGGTTTGGGGCTCTTGTTATTATCACTTTTCCCCAACTGTCACATTCTTGCTCTAAGCTGGCTTTCAGTTTCTATTCTTTCTTTAGCCCCAGGCACTGAACTCTCCCAGCTTTTCTATCTGCTATCCTCATCTGTCATTTTCCAGTTAGTTCCCCCCGGCCCCCATCCACTTTTTATATGGATTTTTGCTGCTGGTGAGGAGCAAGAAAAAGGTTGGAAAATCCTAAATGCCAGCAGTATTGCATGACCGAAAACTCAAAAGATCTATCAGTCCATTCCATCAGTGCCTTCGTCTGATACATTATACATTTCACATATGAGGTTTTGTATGTAAGAGGGTACTGCTTATAAAACAAGGCATTCCTCTTTTTATAAGTTTAGTTGAGTACATTTCACCTGATGAGAAAGGTAACCATGTTTACTGTTAAGATCATAGCCGTGATGAAAAGTGACATAGTGTTTCATTGAAAAGATTGATTCTGAATTAATTTAACTCCACACCTGAATTTTTATTTAGTGCGAATCTTAGTGATTCATAAGTCTGAATATATTGGTGTTGATGGCTGACATACCTATCCATGATCTTGTACTATTTAGATTATATGGATTTTACTAAAATGAATAGACAAGTAGCAGCAAATAGAGAGTTGACATATAAGAGTATAATTTTCAATTGGAGGGACTTATATCTTTAGGCAGTAAAAGCTTAAAAAGGACATGTGTCTTTTTCCTGTTTAGTAATATATTTTGTGCTTTCTCTAACTGCACCTAGTTTTCTCCTGGAACTTGGCCGAAATAACAAAACATGTAATACCTAGTACTACCATCAAAATCTAATTAGAAAGATAAAGCTTTAATGAAGGTAAAATATTAAAAAGGTTTTTAAATATAGTTCATGATAACAGAAAAGAAGTCATAGGACAGTACTTAAATAATTGCCAAATAAACCAATAGAAAACAATTGCAGTTTGAGTTCACAGATAGGAAAGATTATTTAAAACTAGGTTCAGTAGAATTTGCAGAGGAGGTGTAATTTGAACTCCTTAGTAATGAGTGGGTAGGATTTCAGTAGATATGAGTGCAAGGTCATTCCTGTGTGGCACAGTATGAGTAAAAAGTATGGAAACTTATTTAATTCATATAGAGATATTGTAGAGATTAAGGTTGATATGTAAAATCACTTAAAATAATGCATTCATATAGTAGATAAAAATATTTTATTAAAAGAATAACAAAACATTTTCTCTGAACAAGTCAATAAACCAGTTTTACTTCCCTGAAGGTCCATGTAGGGTGTCAGAGAAAAGAAAGGCTAGAAATTTTGGCTAAAATGCCTGCTTAGTTGAGAACATCTTTAAGTTTTACTCAGTGCTTCTCAACAGTCTACCCTGTTTGATTTCTCTAATGCCTATTTGCGGTGTGTTACTCTATGATACTTCAGCAGGATTATATTTAAATAGCCCAAACAAAATAGTTATGAGATGTTACTAGATTGGAAAGTCTTAGAGCATTATTTGAATGCACATGAGATCTAATAAAATATTCCATGCTCTGTTCCAGTATTTACAGGTTGTTGTTGATTATATTATTCAGTTTTGATCAGAAAAAGAGGACTTATATGTGAACTTATAGACACTTCATAAAGCTAATGATCTGTTTGACTTATAAGCTCTTTCTCACCTCAAAGAATAGTTTTTGATATGTTTTTTTGCTTTAATATTAAAACCTTGTATTTTTCAGGCTGCAAACTATTGTATAAACAGGATTTTGCACGACGTTTAGGATTGAGATGTGTTACTTGCAACTATTGCTCTCAACTGTGTAAGAAGGGAGCAACTAAAGAACTTGATGGTGTCGTGAGAGATTTCTGTAGTGAAGACTGCTGTAAAAAATTTCAGGATTGGTACTACAAGGCGAGTAACTAAAATTTTTTATTATAGCAACTGCTTTATCCAATCTTTAATAAAATATTGCAGTTACTATCATTACAAATATGGTAGCTTATTTATTTAAAAAATGTACATACATTAAACCCTGCCCAGATTATAGAATTCATTAAAATTTTTGTCATTTCAGAAAGTTTTTTGTACAACTTGAAGTAGCATTTTTACTTGTTTTCTAACTTAGCTATTACCCCAAACTAGAATATATCTTTATTTTCAGCAATATAGTTTAACAAAATGGATTATTTCTCTAAAATTTGTGTGTCTTTATTTCACCAAATAGAAAATAGACCATTTTATCAGTTTTGAACATTAGCAGGTAATTGTTTTAGACACTTCGGATGTGTTTTAAAACACTTTGTTCTTTTTTACCTTTATAATTGTGGATCTTTGGAGAGTTTCAGATTGAAAAGACTATATGGATAGAGACCAAAAATATTTAATTTGAAACTGTAAATAAGTGTGTGTGGTTGTCTTATTATAATCTACTTCTAGAAAAGATAAACCACTTTTTTGTCCATTGTGTTGGTTTTTTCCTAGATAAGAAAAATGAGTGTAAATCTGGGCTTTGTTTGGTCAGATATTACCCAAGAAAAAGTTATTAGTTCATATGTCCATAACATGGAAAATCATCTCAATGTTAAAACTTCATTATCGTTGTACTTCTAAAACATGTGAAGACGACATCATCATAACTTCAAAACTGTGAAATATTGCTAAAAGAAACAAAGGGTAAAATGGTTGAAATATGTAGAATATTATTTATTTAGTTCACTTAATGAAAGTGATTAGTGCTAATATTATTTAGGAAAATTACAAGAATTCTTGGTGTAGTTCTTGAATGTTTACAGCTCCACATATCAAGTAACATTTATTAAATTAAAAGAAGATGCTTTCCAAGTTGAAAGAGGTTGTGGAGGCTAAGAGTTTTGGTGCAATTTTAAAATTACTTCATTATTTTACTGTTGCTTCTGACTAATTTGTCTTACAATTAGGGGCGCCTGGGTGGCTCAGTTGGTTAAGCATCCAACTCTTGATTTCAGCTCTGGTCAGGATCTCAGGGTCATGAGGCTCCAAGCTTGGCTTGGAGTCTGCTTGAGATTCTCTCTTTCCCTTTCCTTCTGCCCCTCCCCCGCTCAAGCTCCCGGTCTCTAAAATAATTTAAAAATTTAAAAAATCTTAAAATTAAGGTTCAAATTTTAGAAACACACAGGACAAACATACTAACATCCTCTAACATTTGTTTTAATCTAATCTAACCTTTTGTTCTATTAAAGACAGTAGCAATTTTGAGAAATCACTCAAAATGTTACTTTAATAGCTTATTTAAAAGCTCAGTTTTGTTTAACACATATGAACACTCTCCCCTGTTTGGGAGGTTTTATTTTTGAAAATTTGTTTTGGATTCAAAACAGCAAAGGTATTTAGTGGCTACATTATAAAGATGGGAAAATTCCATTTTATTCTTCCTTTTGGTTACCCTTTTGATCGTTTATTTTATAGTTTGAGAGACAAAAACTGTTACCATATGATAAATATGATTTCTCTGTCATTTTATTGTGCAAATTTCTGCCTAATTGTGTAATTGTGAATCCAGACCTTTAATATTTTAAAATCCTTTTTGGAGGATTTTGTTTTTTTATCCACAGAACACTAAATGTACTTCTGTTTGGCTTCTTTCTTTGAATGATTTCTTCTTGTTTTCTTTTATAGTACTTAAAATAGAGAAGTCTTTTTGTTTTTTTGTTTGTTCTTTTTGGGGGAAGCAAAGAAGTGTTCTTTGGCAAAAGACCATATTACTCTAGATACTGCCATTTGTTCCATTTTGCTATTTATTTTAAAGGATAATTGTGTCTAATGTTTTTATGCAATGTTTAATGATGAAATTTTGGTGAGGCAGTGCATTTCAGGATATATAACAACATGTTAGTTAAATAACCAGTTGTAATTATCTGTTGGTGTAAAGTCAATATTTTGTACATTAAACACATTTTTATTGTTATTCCTTGTCTTATATTAAACCCAACAAATGTTTGTGTAATATGCACAATAGCATTTTTACATTACTAACATTTTTACATACATTTTACTAACATTTTACATACATATATTACATACATTTTTACTGTACTAACCTGAGGAATAAAGGTTATATCATTTTATCATAATGGTAGGGATTTGTAAAGCAAGTAATGATGATTTTTCTATGATCAATAGGAATACCAGCTTTGAGATGAAGAGTTGCCCTCCTTATTCATCATTGGCTTCTCTGTGGTGGCAACCAACACTAAATCAAGGAATAACTTTGTTCTGTGTGTCAAATTTTATTTTCTTATACCTCTCATGAGTCTCTCCTGTTCACTGCTACCATCCTGATATCATCTTGAAAATGTAGTAAGTTGAGTCCCAAACCAAATTACGATTTTTTTTTGACCTTTCCTCTTCCACTTTTTAAATTTAAGAACTCAAGTTTTAGATTTTAGTTCATTATAAATGTGACACTTAACAGTCAGTCCAGCTTTTATTAGAAAAACAATTTTTTAAAAGGAAACTTTAAAAGCAACTTTAAAAACAACAGGTAGCCAGTCTAGTTTGTTAACTTCACCTTTAGTCATGAGCATTTGCTTCCTAACCAGAGGAGCACATACATTGTATTTTCCACCTTCTTATCTTTGTGCCTCAAGTTCATAGACTATCTATAGTATAAATAACTTTACATTTTTATTTATTTAAATTAAATTTAAATATTTATAAGTATACTTTAAAAATTTTGGCTTTTGTTTCTTTTACTTGACAAGATGTTTTGAATGATCTGTGTTTTTTGGTTTGTATAATGGTTTGCATTTGGATTTAAATAGAGATTTATTAAATACTGTCTCTTCTAAATTGGAATACAAAATCTGTTGAAATCATGCAACCAGAAAATGTTGAGAGGTAAAGTTAACGTTTTTTTCTTCTCCCAAATTGTTCTTTAGAAGGAAGTAGATAAATAAATGTTTCCAGCATAATGTGAAAGCAGGTGGGAGGAGAGATGTTTTGATCTCTGTAAGTTTGAAATTTTAGGAGAAAAAGGGGTTAGTACTGTAATGGAATAATAGCTAGGTGTTTGATAATGTGAAGTTAATTCAAAAGACCTACTGTTTTCCAGAATACTTCACAGTAATTCTTTGTAGAACTAATAATCTTTTCTTGAATGTTATTGCTACAAATTATAGTTTTTTAACACGGGTTTTGATTTGCTGTACAAGCCAGTAGTGAATGGCAGCATTCTTTAATGTAAATGCCCTGTAATGGTATAAAAATATGATTTATGGGGTTTAATCAAATTAATACTTATGTTTTAGTAAATCTTAGTCATAAAAGGGTAGTTGAATAAAAAATACTGGGTTTTTAAATTTTCTCTTTTTTTGTAAAAAATTTGCTAGAAATATTTATTTTAAAAAATTATTCTTTGTTTTTGAAATAATTTTAGAAAGGGAATATCTAATATTCTTGCTTTAAATGTGCTTTTTGGTAACTGAAGATTTCCTATCACTTGAATGCGTTGCCTTCAATCACCTACCCTTTTATCACAGCATTTTTTTTCCCTTTTTTTTTAGTGAATAACTGTACTTAGTAGGAAGTCATAAATAATTATTTTTTAAATGACTGTAAAATCCCCTATTTCATTCATATTCATGAATTCCCCTCCTCAAAATTAGGTCTGATTGGTGAAATGGGAAACAAGTAGATGGGCAAGTTACAAGGATGTATATATATCAACCAAAAGTGAGAATTTGAAACTGCCAAATAATAAGGGACTGCATCAGTATAGGCTGAATGACCTATTATCAATTATTGAAAGAGAGATTCCTGTATTGGCTGAGATGCTGGATTAAGATTTTTGAATTAAGAATTTAGTACCCGCATATTATTTAGGTTTTTTGAACTGGTGACTGTTAATCCACTCCACCCCTCCCCCCCATAACAGACAATCCCTGATTTTCCATAGTGACAGGAAGACCACTAAGTAGATGATGAAATTGTATTATTTATTTATTTATTTTTTAAAGATTTTATTTATTTGACAGAGAGAGACAAAGCAAGTGAGGGAACACAAGCAGGGGGAGTGGGAGAGGGAGAAGCAGGCTCCTCGCTGAGCAGGGAGCTGGATGCGGGGCTCGATTCCAGGATCCTGGGACCACGACCTGAGTCGAAGGCAGACGCTTAACGACTGAGCCACCCAGGCTCCCTGAAGTGGTATTTTTGAAACCAGCAACTTAAGTTATACTTCAGTTCTTCTTCCTTTTTTTTTTTTAAGATTTATTTATGAGACAGAGTGTGTGCGCAGTCGGGGTGGGGATTTAGGGGCAGAGGGAGAGAATCTCCAGCAGACTCTGCCCCAATTGCGGAGTTCATCTGGGGGGATACCATGACCCATGAGATCACCTGAGCCCATGAGATCACCACCTGAGCTGAAACCAAGAGTCAGATGCTCAACTGACTGAGCCACCCAGGCGCCCTGTACTTCGGTTGTTATGCTGTAGAAATGTTAAGCTTTTCTAAGAGTTCTCTCCTATGGTTGGAAGGAAGTAGTTTTCGTAAGGAATCATGGTCATTTTTAACAATGTTTTCCAATTAGCCATTGTATTTTAAGCTCAGTTCCAAACTTTACCCAGAATTTGCATGAGTGGCTATAAAAGAAAAAACCAAATGGAAAAGAGGTTCACAACTTCTGCAACTTTGATTATGGCATTGAACTTGGATTTAGTATTGAGTATTGTTACTATCCTTCCATTCTGAAAAAATATGTACATATTTTATTTCCATTTGCTAATTGGCATTAATTTTGGTCCTCGGGTACAGAGAAATCATCTAAATTTGTTTTGAACCTTCTGGAAGAAAGCTTCAAATATTGTTACTACAAAATCCAAATGTCTATAATTATAAAATAATGAAGTGATTTCATTGTTCAGATTCTTTGAGGAGAATGTGCTTTGACCTTCTAAATTTTTGTGTAAATAGAAGTATTTTAAGAATTAGCATAGTATATGTAGTGATTTGAATACATTTTATACAAATTGATTTGGGTTTTAGATGTTACATTGAGAACCTTCTTGCAGCGTTTTACCTTTATTAGGATTTTTATTCTCTAGTTATTTATATTAACTCATTTTGTCTTTCCATTGTCTTTATAACTTGATACACTAAATAAAGCCCAGTTTTTGATTTGGATTGTCTGCTTGGAATCCTGTCTCTGCATTTTAATGTTTGGCCTTAGACAAGTTACTTCATTTCCAGTACTGTGGTGAGGATTGTAGAGAGTAGATATAATATGCCCGGCTTTTATTTTTCAGGTTCTCAGTGAATGAGAGGTAGTCAGGCTACAACTTCACTTTTGCTATGTTTTTGTACTGTTTAGACTCAATAATTAGAATGTTAAGCTTTTGATTTCTTCCTTTGTGCTTTGTCTTGGGTATAAAGTATAAAAAGGGAACTAAACGTTGAAACTTTGAATACTTAAAGGTTATTTTAAAGAACAGTTTTTGGGTGGTGACCAGGGACCTTTTTCATTATTGAGTAAAATATGACCTAGTTGATAATAAGTGCTAATGTTACTGAAGTTACCACATAATATTACTGGCAATATAAAATTTGAGCTCACAGTTTTTGGACAAGAGATGTGATTTTGGCATCACTTAGTAGTCATAATTTATACTACAAATCTTCATTCATTTAACATTTATTCAGCAGGAGAAATACCTGACCTGGAGAAAAAAAAGAGCCTGTGTTCTAACCTTGGGGTATGTTTGTTATATAAGACCTGTTTATCAGCACAATCATTTGTTAGTATTCCTGCCTAGGAATTTTGACAGGGTATTTATGCATAGAACTCCTATTGAGAAATAAAGTGAGAGGTTTCAAAACCCACAGTATAGAACTATAGATTATTTAGGTAATGAGGAAAAGCTACATGATTATTATGAACGTAATGTGTATTGCTTTATCAAAACTTCTAAGTTGTTAGTTAAACCAAAGGGTAATTTAAAAAATATGGTAATTTATTTCTACTCTAACTGGATCAAACAATTATGAAAAGAACTGTATTTGGAATTAATCATTCATATCTTTTGGTCCACTCATTGATCAAGTTGTTAAGAAATAGTGAAAATGGGCAAAATTTAGGGGAAATGGGTTCACTAAAAAATGAAAATCTGTCCCTGGATTATGGATTCACCATTATAAGGTTTAATGTTTTATGTATTAATTTTACTAGTTGGGGCTGATTGTTGTCCTAAAATATAGCTTTTTTAATTAAAGATTTGAGTGTTTTAAAACATGAACTTAAAGTCCTTGTTAATACTTAAATCAGCATATTTAATAAAGCTCTTTAAATTTATTAAACTGTTGAAAATACTTCAACTTAACATCCATGATTTTCTCATAAGAGCTTGCTTCAGAATTTTTCTGGTCTTATACAGCTTCTTTAAATTGATTTTCTTGAGCTATCAGTTGAACACAGGAAATCTGTTTATTAATCAGAGATTTTCAGTGTAATCTGATTGTAGGAAACTTCTACCACTATATCATTAGGGTCCTCAAGATTATTTTAAAATATTAAAATATATTGTCCAATTTGGTCTATTAGTGTTCACTTTTTTTTGGTATCCTATCTTTGTAATGCTGGTCTTTAACTGCTGGTAAGTATAGAAAGGGATTTTGACAATTAGGTAAATTTTGCTACATTTTTTTCACTTTTATTGTGGATTTTTACTGTATGTTTATGATTTATATTTTTTATCAGAAATTGCTTTATATTTGGCAATAATCACTGATAAACTTTTATAAATCTTTTAAAGTACATGTCTGAGTTTTTAAATTTTTTTAATTTGAAATGTCTGATGCCTTCCTTTTTTTATTAAGGCTGCAAGGTGTGACTGTTGTAAATCTCAAGGAACGCTTAAAGAGAGAGTGCAGTGGCGTGGAGAAATGAAACATTTCTGTGATCAACACTGCTTACTACGTTTCTACTGTCAGCAAAACGAGCCCAACATGACAACTCAGAAAGGACCTGAAAACTTACATTATGGTATGTAATAATTTAGGTAGTAACTTGAAAAACTTGTATAGCAGTGTTTAGTTTCTTAGATCTGTATTCAAACTAATGATAATGAATAGTTGATTTTGGATAACGCATAGTCCATTTTGTCTGGGTGGAGGTGCCCTGTATGATATTTCTGTAGGTGTATTGTTTTTTATTCTCTTTTAAAAATTTAGTGCTAGTTGAAAAAAAATGGCAATTTTAAATGAAGACCGGTTTTAGGAAATTGTATGTGCTGGGAGTAGGTTGGGAGGAACAATGAAAACCCTTTAGAAGTTGTGACTTATTTAAGAGTTAAGCATAAGAACACAGTATTGAACCCAAAGCAATGAATATTTTCTGAGAGGACAAAATGGGAAAAGGGTTAATTCCACTTATTTAGCTTTGTATTTCAGCTCTCAAATTTGATACTTTTTACTTGAAATAGCTTACAACGTTTTCTTCATTAACTATTTTAAAAAATCAGTAACATTTAATGAGAAATACAGATTTAGAAAATTCTGAAGAAAGTGATATTTGTCTTATTTTAAATTTGTTTGTTTTTAGATCAGGGTTGTCAGACGTCCCGAACCAAAATGACAGTAAGTATTGCTTAAGTAAAGTGCTAAATATTGATTTTTATAATGTGGGCATAAATATATAGTCCAATTTAATCTGATCATAATAAAAGATTTTTACTTTCCTCTCTTGGGACAGTTGAAGTATTTAGGTAAATAAAACCGATACTTTCATATATGCTAAGGAATATAAAGGTGAATTAATTATGGCTTCTACCCATATTGGTGGAGATAGACATATAAATGGTATTTGAGTTGAAGTAACCATAATCTTTTTTTTTTTTTTAAGATTTTATTTATTCATTTGAGAGAGAGATTGAGTGAGCATGAGCACAATTGGGGGTGAGGGTAGAGGGACAAGCAGACTCCCCACTCATTTGACACATGGGGCTTGAATCCAGGACCCTGAGATCATGACCTGAGCCGAAGTCAGACAGTCAACCAACTGAGCCACCCAGGTGCCTCAAAGTACCCATAATCTTTAAGGCAGTAGCAATACTATGTTTGAAATGATTGACTGAATTATTGTATTTGTTCCTGGTGGCTGTGAAAAAGCTTTAGAACAGTTGAGTAGAAGGTTGCCAGATAGACAGTGATGAAAAGTAGGAGGAATGTGCTAAGGACATGCATAACTATTCATTAGGGCCAAACTTCAGGGGCACCTGTGGTGGAATCATGGAAAATGAGGTAAAAGGATAGGCTGGGCCAGATTATTAATGGCTTTGAGTTTATGTTTCTCAAATAGGTATCTGAAGGTCTGTTTTGGGGGCCAGGACTTACAAGTTTTTATTTTATTTTATTTTTAAAGATTTTATTTATTTATTTGACAGAGAGAGACACAGCGAGAGAGGGAACACAAGCAAGGGGAGTGGGAGAGGGAGAAGCAGGCTTCCCGAGGAGCGGAGAGCCCTATGCGGGGCTCGATCCCAGGACCCTGGGATCATGACCTTGAGCCCAAGGCAGACGCTTAACGACTGAGCCACCCAGGCGCCCCACAAGTTTTTAAATATGAGAAATATTTCCATAATGTGTCCTGTGGATTTTTTTCTTTAGTCTTTGGTGTAATACATCAAATTCTGCTTTTATGTTAGCATTTTAAGACTTTTTATAAGTTGAAAGTGTCCATTTGTATGTAACGAATAAAGAGAAGAAGCAATGTTTTGCTATACTTTGAAGCACAGTGAGCCTGCCCTCTTGTATGCTGAGTAACAATAATCACCAGTATTGGAATATTGGTATTCCTGGCATCCGTATCCAAGGGAAGCTCTATAGGAGTCATTTATTGGCATTATATTAAGTCTCTGAGTTTTTGACCTGGTAAGAAAGAATAAATCAATGGTTTTTAGATCTGGCTACACATTTGGATCACCTGGGGAGTTTCCAGAACTTTCCAATGCCTAGCCCCCAACTCAGAAATTGTGTTTTTGGAAAGTTCTTCAAGTGATTTTAATATGTAACCACAATTTAGGATCAATGACAAAGTTGAAAAATTAGTGATTTTACATTATTCTGTTCAGTTTTTGCTTTTGATGTTAGTAGTTAAGAATCCTAAGAAAGTAAGAGTGCTTTCTCCCTTGCTTTACTCCCCTATATGTCATCCCCCCCCTTATGGAATTACATTTAAAATCAAATAATTCAGAAATACATCAAAATACTCAGCTGAATCATCTCATTTTAATACCAGGCACTTTTATCCATGATGAGGATATAAAGATGGTCACTCCATATTTTCACTTTGTAGCCATAAGGCAACTTCCAACCTTGTTTCAAATATGTAAGCTTTTGACCAAGGCTTTAAGGCCCACCTTCTACCAGCATAATATCAGATACTTTCTTCCTCTCCTAGCACTTGAACCACATTATATGACAGCCAGAAGGGTCTAGGGAAGGATAAATCAATGTGCCACTGCAATTGTTGCCTTTTGTCTTATAAAAGCCCTTTCCCATCTTTTCTTTGTAAGCTTTTGAAGTCTTTTAATTCCCTACCCATAAACTTCAAAGGGTGAGAGCTTAGCTGTATAATTTTGGACAAGTCCCTTTACACAAGTTCTTGGTGTGAATTTCTTGTTTGAAAAATGGTGATGAAGATAGTACCTACTTCAGGGTTATCACATAGTAAGCATTAAATACATAGTAGCTGCTCTGTACCAGACCTCATAAAGGCAGTATGTATAGTAGTTAAGAACATAGGCTTTGGTGTTAGGTTAATTTACTTGAATCCTGACCTCAGAACTTTTAGCTCTGTCATCTTTCCCAGGTTGTGTAACTTCCGAGCCTTAGTTTTCAGATGAGAAAATAAAGTGGGAGTGATTAAAAGGCCTACCTCTTGTAGTGTTAGGAGAATTAAATAACTCATTTCATGAGTTATGTAAATTTGGTGCTTTATGTAATGTCTTTGTCCATTTGAGCTGCTATAGCAATACCATAAGTGAGGTGGCTTACAAACAACAGGAATTATTTCTCACAGTTCTGGAGGCTAGGAAGTCTAAAATCAAGTTGCTAGCGGATAACAGTGTCTGGTGAGGGCCTGCTTCCAGGTTTATAAATAGCCATCTTTTCACTGTATCTTCATATGGTGGAAAGGGGTAAGGCATCTCTAGGATTGCTTAATGAGGGTATTAATCCCGTTCATGAGGCCTCTGCTGTCATAATATAATCCCCATCTAATGGCCACACCTTCAGATACCATCACATTGGGTATTAGATTTCAACATATGAATTTTAGGGGGTATATATTATCTGTAGCACATAGTGTCTGGCATGAAGCAAATACTGAACAGATGGTAGCTTTTGTCATTATAATTTTATTTTGGGTCCTCCTTCAGTATTCATTATAAATAGAAGTAGATCTTGCTTGTTGAGAAGCAGAAAAGTAAGAAGCATTATCAAGTGTAGGTCTTCACTAGGTGGCATAGTTTATTTGACATGATGTAATGTTTCTAAATGACAGGAGGTAAAACCTTGAGTAATCTACAAAATGTATGATTTTGGACCCCTTGTTCTTATGTGGGGATTCTAGGGTATTTTCCAGCTTGGACCAGGCTTACCTAGTCTTGGTATGTAGTAGATACTCAATACCTATTTGTTATATTATTCTGCCCATTTTACAGTTGAGGAAATTGAGCCACAAGAGACTGAGTCACTTGCCTGATGTTACACAGCAGTAATTTTAGGACTAAATTCCCTAACTCCTTGTTTGTAGCTCTTTTTCTTAGCTGATTAATAATGTGGTTTGAAATCCTGATGAATCTAGAATAGTACCATCTCCTTGGCCATATGCATTATTTGTAACTCGTGAGATATCTACCTGAAACAGTCTTTCAAAAAATTTGTATCTTTCTACACCTTTAAATATGCACAGATAAATTTATTAAACAGTAAGTGCTTTAAGTACAATTGATCATCATTCATATTTGCAAATTTGCCTATTCTCTAAATGGTAGCCCCTAAATCAATACCCATGGCAATTTCAAAGAAATTTGCAGACATGGTGCAGATTGGTGAAAAACATGAGTCTCCTGAGGTGCATCTTCCTGCTGAGGTGGAACAAGGCAAGGCTTTCCCTTCTTGTCTCACTTCATCCTATAAGCAGGTGTCCTTTTCATAGTCAATTAGTACCACCTTTTTTATATTTTGTCCTTTTTGTTGGTGATTTTGCTTTATAAAAGATCCCCCAAGAGTAGTATTAAAAAGCCATATCTAGTGTTCCTAAGCACAGGAAGGCTGCTCTGTGCCTTATGGAGGAAATGATGTGTATTAGGTAAGCTTCATTCAGTTGGCAGTGAGTTTAATGTTCATGAATCAACAATATGGTACACTTAGAGAAAGGAATAAGAAATTCACCAGTCTGTAGATGAGGCAACTCTGAGTACTGAAGTAAAATCTATAGTACATGGTGAAGCTATGGAAAAGAAGGAAGAGTGATTATATTTATGGATTCATGGACTTAGGACTAATTAAAAAAAAAAGTGAAACAGCATTGTTGTGAGGTTTTCAGCTTACATAGAGCATGTTACACAGGCTCAGGAAAATGTTAAACCCTTCTTGCCTACTGCTGGCTAGCTCACATTTCAAGCAAAATGGTATGGAAAATGTTAAACTTGCATGCGAGGTGATTTCTGCAGATCAGGACCAGGATGCTTTGGGAGAATACCAGCCAAGTGTTAACACAGGAAGAAGGGATATACAGTTAAACAGATTTTCAACACTGATGGGACTGGCTTGCTTTCACAAGGTCAGTGGCAAATGAATGTATGTGGTACAAGTGGTCTTCAAAGCCCCTGACTTTAAATAGTTTAGAAACCATGCAACCTTGCTGTTGTGTGCCAATGCCAAGGATAACCTCAATCCCCCCTTGGTGCATAGAGCCCAAAATCCATGAAAAATCCAGGGAAAAAACTGAGCTATATGCCAGTCCATTAGAGGTGGAACAAAAAAAAGCATGAATGGTATCTAAAATATTCTGTGATTGGTTCTCCCAGCTGCTTCATCCTAGAAGTTGAACATTGTCTCCAGAATGAAAACCTTGCATTTGAGGTTTTTTGAGGTTTTATTACTGGATGATTTCCATTGTCTTGAAGAACTCAAAAATGCCTATCTCAGTGTAGTTCCTTTCATGCCCCCAAACACTCTCTCTCTCATCCAGCCCCTCAATTAGGGCGTAATTAAAGTTTCAAGACCTACTTCATGAGAAAGCTTTCAAGGCTCTCAACACCAACAAGGAAACCACCCTGATTATTGGAAGTTAGTTACCATACGCAGCATTATTATGTTGGCACAGCTTAGGACAGCATCAAGCAAGCTACCATGAATAATTGGGAAAATGTTTGACCACACTGTGAAAAATTTCAAAGTTTTTGAAGGTGTCACAGGAAAAAAAAAAACGTAATGTGTATTGCACCAAGTAAGTGAAGAAGGCTTTGGGGACGTGCAGGACGATATGGAGGAAGTTTGGTAGAGAAGGCAGTAGAGCCTACCAGTGAAGACCTTGGCAAGATGGCAAAACAAGGCATCAGATTCAGTGATGAAAGTCAGCCCAAGACTCCTAAGAATGGCCAAAATATTGGAATGGAATTCTGCCTTTGGAAGAATTGTCAGTGACATGGAAGAATATGACCCTATGCTGAACAAAGCTGCAATTTAAGCACCACTGTGGTTGCCCCTCATGTAAAGATGCTTTAAAAGATTTGAGGTGAAAAGCCAAGCAGACAGGCTGACTTCTTTTTTTGAAGCCAGTTTGGGAGGGAAAAGTGCTGACATTGTCAAGAAATTACAAGAGCCAAACTCTTGAGGTAGAACTGCCAGATGTCACCCTCTTCTTCCCTCACCAAGTCACCGACTTCTTCCTCTTCTGCAGAATAATTGCCATCAACCTTTCCCTTGGTTTTTATGGGCACGCCAAAGGTTGAGAGGTTTAACCACACAGTGCATTGCCCCATTGTACATCCTGCATGTCCACTAAGAGTAAGATGTTAATATTTTTATAAAATGTTCCATGTTTACTCTTTGGTTTTTTTTCCAGGACTTTATTTACATTAGTGTACAATATACAGTATGTGTTAACAGGACTGAGTATGAGTACCATATAGTATATGTGTACTGTATCTGTACTATGCAGGAGTGTACACATCTGAGTGAAAGTGTTAATAATCATAGTATACTACAGTACATAAAAATGCTGTAATCATGATATAAAGAAACACAGAGTATAATTATTTGTAAGAAATATATATGAAATCAAGTGTGTTTCAATAGAAACACTGTTATGTATTGATCTGTTGATGAAAATCTTGTGACCAAAGGCTTGTAGGAACCTAACGTTGTATTTCCTTTTGGAGTTATGGTTCTGTATTCACTACTTAAGTATTCATGGTGACTGTCTAGAAGTTAAGTACCTCAAATATTCTGTATTCTCTACCTTTTTTCCTATATCAATATATGGAGAGCACCTATGTTTAGTCCCTTCTGGACAGATCTTTAGCTTTTTTTAGATTGTGTATGTGTGTATGTGTGTGTGTGTGTGTGTGTGTTATGCCCGGGAGGGGCGGGGTGTTCTCAATTGCAAATAATGCTACAGTGAACATGGTAAAAACATTTGAGAGACTATTATCTAGGGCAGGTTTCTGAAATTGCAATTGCTGGGATATAAAAAATAGTTTGAAGTTTGATAATATGGTAATTCTTTTCATCATTTTTTTTTTATCTTTTAAAATTTAGTAACATATATAAGCTGTTTATCCAGTAGAGAGAACTAGTGTGTATCAGGTGGCCATAATAACTAAGAATCTTTCTCAAATAAATTTAAAAGAACCTAATTATTTTCAAAATTCAGGCTAACAATCTTCTGTTTTTTACCTAAAAGTAAAAATTGTCTTTTTATGTTTTTTAAAAAATATCCATTGAGGTCACACAGTTCTGTAGAATGAATGATTTCTCCTGCTTTGTCAGTAGTTAGGACAGATTCACATTGATCCTTTCAGATTAAGACTATGGTAAACATAGTAATAATAACATAATTTGGTTATATTCTTAAACTTTTATGTGTTCCCTCCACATGATCTAGAAACCAGATATTCATTAACACCAGGAAGTAATAAAAATTAGAGGCAAAAATAAAATGTTGCTCTTTGCTTCCTCTGTAGGGTTCAGCACCACCCCCTTCTCCAACACCTAACAAAGAGATGAAGAACAAAGCCGTTCTTTGCAAACCTTTAACAATGACGAAAGCTACTTATTGTAAACCTCACATGCAGACCAAATCTTGTCAGACAGGTAACTTAGGAAAATTTGACTTACATACTTCCCTATACTTAATACCTCACTTACTGAAATTCATGCTTTTCTCAAATAATAGGCTATGGAATGTATTTGTTTTGGTCACTTTGTCATTTTCTGTTGATTTTGCTTATCTACCTTTAGACATTACCTTGAGAATACAGCATTTTATTTAAAATAATTAATGAAAATCAATCTCTGTTAAAGGCTCAGAATATAAATTATGTCACAGGTGAAAAAATGCTGTATCAAAAATTTCCTTGGGGCTAAGATTCACTAAAGTTACCGTAATCCCTCTGAGAAAATCATCTCTGTAAATGTGACCTATAATGTTAACAGTTCTGTTTCCTTGTCAGAATGAGATGATATCATTCAATTATATATTTTTATGAAATTTAAATGTATTCTAATTGTTTGATTAGATAAATCTTTATGCAGGGGATGTGAGGGGAATCTGATAGGATACCTGGAACTATATAATGTTTTTAAGGGATGTTTTCTTTGTATTAAAAAAAAAGGCCTAAATTCTATTTTTCTGTCTTTATTAAAACAGTTACTGTATTTAGTTTTGTTTTTACCTTACCTAATTTTGTGAAAACAGGGAATTTGTTTTCTTTTCTTTCTTTTTTTTAAGATTTTATTTATTTATTTGAGAGAGAGAGAGCACAGCAGGGGGAGCAGCAGAGGGAGAGGGAGAAGCAGGCTCCCCGCTGAGCAGGGAGCCTGACTTGGGGCTCGATCCCAGATCCCAGGACTCCGGGATCATGACCTGAGCCGGGATCATGACCTGAGCTGGGATCATGACCTGAGCTGGGATCATGACCTAAGCCAAAGGCAGATGCTTAACTGACTGAGCCACCCAGGCACCCCCAGGAATTTCTTTTAAAAGGGAAATGAGGCACTTAAATTTTTCTTTGTTACCAAATTTAACATTGAGTAACTATGTGTAAATGTTACTTAACATTGCTCCTTAAACACATTTTGTATTTTTAGATGATAATTGGAAGACAGAATACGTTCCAGTGCCTATCCCTGTGCCTGTGTATATCCCAGTACCGATGCACATGTACAGTCAGAATATTCCTGTTCCTACTACGGTTCCTGTTCCTGTAAGTCGGATTTTAAGTTTTTTTGTTTGTTTGTTTTTTGTTTTCATTTTGAGGTTTATCAGGCATTAGGTGGGAGAACAATGTAGTGAAGCTAGTAAAACAGGGTTGAGTCTTTGCCTTCATCAGTTAACTTAGGTTTGGTTGAATCTGTCAGTGTTTGCTTTGTGTTTAATCAAGTATATGTTCATCCTTAAAGGTGAAGTTTAGCAAATGTCTGTGTCTGCTTTATGCATATATATATATATATATATATATATATATATAGTGTCTTATGTTTGAGTTCATTTTAGAGAAAAATATTTGTGAAGTTGTAAGTTTTAAAACTTAAACACGGAATAGAATTTCATATGAATTATGATTACATTATTTTGTCCTAAATCACTTGCAGTAATGACACTATGCCAGGGCTTGGCTATCATAGTACCCTGGGGACAGAGGTATCTCAAAAATTATTTTTCTTTAATTTTTATTTCAAAAAGTAGCTGCTTATACTCTGCGCTTTCGTTGTTAAAATTGACATCTTAGTTTTGGTATGTGTTTTTTCCAAAGTATTATAAAGAAGATCATGTGTTAGAATAATTTTTAATTTGGGAAGTTATCTTTATTTATTTATTAGAGAGAGAGCACAAGGAAGAGCAGGTGGGAAGGGGAGAAGGGCAGGAGAGGGAGAAGCAGGCTCCCTGCTGAGCAGAGAGCCCGATGTGGGGCTCGATCCCAGGACCCTGGGATCATGACCTAAGCCGAAGGCAGACGCTTAACTGACTGAGCCACCCAGGCATGCCCCCCTCCTTTTTTTTTTTTTTTAAGATTTTTATTTTTAAGAGATCTCCACACCCAATGTAGTGCTCCAACTTACAATCTGAAGATCAAGAGTTGCACACTCCACTGATTGTACCAGCCAGGCACCCCCCGGAAAATTATCTTCTAATGTTGAGTAAACCTAACAGTAAATATTTTGGTTAATTAGGTGCCGGTTCCTGTTTTTCTGCCTGCCTCATTGGATAGCAGTGAGAAGATCCCTGCAGCAGTCGAGGAACTGAAAAGCAAAGTTTCTTCAGATCCTCTTGATGCAGAGCTGCTTACAATGACAGATATGATAACTGAAGATGAGGGGAAAACAGAAGCTGCCAACATCAACAGTGAGTTGCACTATATTTCACTTTGTGAATAAGTTTATCATTGGTTTTCAGTAAGTGTTATAATTAATATAGTATGTTGCAGGACATATCATTATGTTTCACCTTGAAATGGGAGTGGGTGAGCATTGCAACAAAAATGTATTTTTGTATGAAGAGATCCGTACTCTATCTAGCCACATGCTCTCTTATGCCATGCCCAGTTTTAATATATATATATATATTTAAAGATTTTATTTATCAGAGAGAGAGAGACAGAGGTAGGCAGAGGGAGAAGCAGGCTCCTTGCTCACCAAGGAGCCCGATGTGAGACTCGATCCCAGGACCATGGGATCATGACCTGAGCCGAAGGCAGACGCTTAACCGACTGAGCCACCCAGGCGTCACCCCATGCCCAGTTTTAAGCAGGACTTTGTACAATTTGTACAGTCCTTGTTTTAATTGTAATCGAATTTGACTTGTAAAATCAACTCAGAATTATTCCTGTTTTAATGTACTAGCTCAGACACAAAAATAACTTGTTGGCTTTAATAATGATCCAAACATTTATTTTGTTATGGTTATCCCCAGTTTTGTTTTGTTGGCTATACTTAATAAAGTAATTTGCATTATCTAAACCAGGGTTTATCCTAACTTCTGTTAGGGCAGTGTTTGCCAAATGGCATAAGTATGTTGTAGATGATTCTCTTAAGAGTATTTATTCCTACCCTTACTCCTCTGGTACCACCCAGAGACCTTTTTCAGCCATGAGCTGCCTGATTCCCATTACCCTAGAGCACAATAGAAACACTAAAAATTTTATGTATTTCATAATGTGACAGTTTTTGTGGAGGACTTTGTTACAGATTAACTTAGTGGGTTGCAACCAGTGGTTTTATTTGTTTTTTAATGAAGTGAATGGGAAAATGTTAGTGTGAATCTCATCAAAAAGATAACTGTTTTGTGAAACCTTTGTTTCCTGTGTGTGTCTCTATGTTTGTCTTTCTGTCTCCTATCACCACCTTGAAATGGATAAAATGTGTATCTTACTGTGGGTTGCAGTATAAAAATGTTTGAAAGCAACTGATCAAAACATTAGAAAGCAGTTGTAATTGAATGATATAGAAAACCTAGGTCACAGTTCAAAAAGAGTATTGAAAATTGCAGTTATCCACCCTCATTAGTTTATTTTTGACAAGAGATACTCTGCATACCAGAGTTGGTTTACTATCAAAGCATGCCTATTAACTTTTTGAAAAGGGGCAGTCAGAAACCTAAAGGATTAAGTTTCTGTGTCCTCATGATTATCTAACAATTATAAAATTTATAATAGTTTACATTTCAAGATTATATACCTTTTCCTTTTGTGACATATTAATATAAGTATTCTTGTTTTATATTTACAATTAAATGACTTCCTTTGTCAGATTAAATATAGGTGCTGTTCAGGTCTTCTATTTTGATTTCTAATGATCTTATGAATTGATTACAGGTGTAGTTATTGAAGCAGACATAATTGGTTCAGATCTCTTGAAGAACTCTGACCCAGAGACACAGTCCAATATGCCTGATGTACCATATGAACCAGACTTGGATATCGAAATAGATTTCCCCAGAGGTACTCTTACTTTATTCTTTAAGTGTGAAGTACAGTTATGGAATTTAGTTATGATCATTAATCATTTAATGTTTGTGTTCTTGCCTTTACTGTTTATATTTTTTTTTTTTTTTTTTTTACCCAAACAAAACTCAACGGTTAATTTCTGAAATGAGGCATAGGATTGAATTGAATAGAATTTCTTAGAGCCTGAAAAGACACTTTCTCAAAGTAATTCATTATAGAAAACTTTGTAGATAGAGTAAAGGATAAAGAAGTGATTGTTTCTTTTTTAAAAAATTAAATAAAATATTGACTTTTTCATAGGACCTTTTTAAAATTAAGTTCATCTTCAAAAGGAAAAATTATTTTTAGGTCTTTTGTTGTAAAGGAAATATGTTCTGTTTTTCATTATTTTCTTAATCTACTGATGGCTAATAAACCTGCCCAATAGAATGTAAAGCATTTTATTTTGAGACAGATTTGATATGTTGAAACAGATTTGTACTGAGATCATTTAGATCTTAGAATTGAATTTCAGGTTGTAATAGTTTTTCTGATATTATACATTTCCATGAAAGTTTCATGTTGTTATTTATTATACATGTGTTTTATTTAAGAGTCTGCATAGGGTTTATCAGAACTCATAGACCATTTTCTTTTCACCCTCACCTACAACATAGGTTATCCTCATAAATAGGTGCTTGGTTATATTTTGTGATTAGTTCTTTGTTGGCTTTGTTTATGTAATATAAACTTGTGCTGTTATATTTGGAAATAAAAGTTCTTCTGATTTGATTGTCAGCTGCTGAGGAGCTTGATATGGAAAATGAATTTTTATTACCACCTGTTTTTGGAGAAGAATATGAGGAACAGCCTAGACCTCGATCTAAAAAAAAGGTATAAATTAATAGTATTTTTGCATTCAACTACGATCTCTGTGTAGCGGTATCTCTTTAGGTATGGAGCAAGGATAATAGTGATCCACAGTTGTGCCTGAGACCATGGGAAGACTTTTTTCCCCTAGATTTAAAAAGGCTTTAAGAGTTAAAGTCTTTATTACTTCATTTCTAAGTAATAAAAATGTCTAGATTTACTTGTAACTTTATAGAAGAGTTGAATATTATTGCCATTTAATTTTCCTTTATAATTTTATCCTGACAAAAGGTTGACATTGTTGCTAAAAAAAAGTAAACAATTCTTTCACAAGAATTGAGACTGTTTTCTAGGGATCTGTTTTTTCCACTATTATTTCTGATGAAACTAATCTGTGAGGTTGAGATAACACAGTTTATAATATTTGATCTTTTTTAAGCGTGTCAGCACATGCAAAGACATGCTGAACGGTTTAATTGTTCAGGTAGATCAAATCTACATGTATTAACAGTTGTGATTTTTAAAAATACTTTATCAACAACTTTATATATTTCTGATTTGCAATATAAAGCAAGACCAAAAGAAAAAATAAAAGGATGACTTTCACAAATTTCCCCACAAAGAAAGAAAAAAACTGAAAAAGGAGTGAGTACCCGCAGTAGGATGAAGTTGGACTCCTGTTTGACGCCATATAAAAATTAACTAAAAAATGAGTAACAGACCTAAATATAAGAACTAAAATTATGAAACTCTTAAAACAGGCCTAAATCTTTATTACCTTGGGTTAGGCATAGTTCTTCGATATAACACCAAAAGTATAAGAAATAGCAGGAAAAAATAGGTGAATTAGGTGTACTACATCAAAATTTAAAACTTTCATACAGCAAATAATGCCATCATGACAGTGAAAGGAGCTGAGTGGTCATTCCCCACAAATTGGAAATCCTGGGAAGTTCAATTTCTCTCTTACATTAATATTTAGAATCCTTTTCAGATTATTAATTATGTCTTACATTTAATTATTTTCTTATCAGTGACTGTCACAGCAGAAGTTAAAATGATTTTTTTATACAAAGTGGTTTATGTAGAAATATGGCATTCCTGGAGATATATTTCAAGTAACTATTCTCAGATTCTGGAATACCAATCAGTTCTAAGCGTATATATTTCTCTTTTGATTTACATTTGTTGAGAGATGACTTACATAAAGTCATGAAACAGTTTAGGCTTTTTTAAAAAAAGATTTTACAATGGTGTTTTACTAATAGGGAGCCAAGAGAAAAGCTGTATCAGGATACCAGTCTCATGATGATAGTTCTGACAATTCAGAATGCACCTTTCCTTTCAAATATACGTATGGTGTAAATGCATGGAAACACTGGGTCAAAACTAGGCAACTTGATGAAGATCTTCTGATATTAGATGAGCTAAAATCTCGTAAGTGTTCTGATTTTGTTTCTTCTTGCATTGTATTTCAAATCATGATTTTTGTTATTAACTACCTTTACTTTTAAAAAAACATAAATGTATAGCTGACAGTATTTTAAGTACATTTAAATATAACTTTTGTTTTACTTTAAAATTCTTAATATAGTATAAATCAATTTCAGAAAGTTTCTTAATCTTAAGAGTAAATAATAACAATTTTTCTTTCTTTTTAGCTAAATCAGTAAAGTTAAAAGAGGATCTGCTCTCTCACACCACAGCTGAGCTTAACTATGGGTTAGCCCATTTTGTCAATGAGATCAGACGCCCAAATGGAGAGAGTTATGCACCTGACAGCATCTATTATCTTTGCCTTGGAATACAGGAGGTTAGTAATTTGATGGCTACGTTTGAATATAATGTTAATAAGCAAGGTTGTTGTAGTAGTTTTGGAAAAGAAAAATGTTAATGTGTCAGGAATATTAAGGGCAGCTTTATGGAACATAATGATTTCTTGGCTTGCCAAGACAAAAAATAATTTACTCTATTTGAAAATACTAGGATATTATAAAGGATTTTCTTAGCTAATTTGTATATAGGTCTTTCTGTTATAATGAGGTATGTTCCTAAAAATCCTCAAGTTCTTCAAAACTACTGTACCATAACCAAAAAGAATTCATGTGAAAAATGGAGTTAGGGTCAGGCGACCTGAAACTCATGCATCTTTTGTAACAACCTAACAAAGCTGTATATTTGTTACCATGTATATGATAATCAGGATGGCTTCATTTCCTCTTTACAGTTGCAAATAAATGAATTAACATTCTGAGGCATGATCTGTATATGAATATATAGATCCATGCTGATATACGTGTAAATAGAAAAATGGGTTCCTTTGCAAATAGCGGGTCTGTTTCAGTTGTACACTTCTCATGTTTCTAAGGTTTTTTTTTAAATTTTTTTTTTAAAAGATTTTATTTATTTATCTGAGAGAGAGAATGGGAGACAGAGAGCATGAGAGGGGAAGGGTCAGAGGGGGAAGCAGACTCCCCGCCGAGCAGGGAGCCTGATGCGGAACTCGATCCCAGGACTCCAGGATCATGACCTGAGCCGAAGGCAGTTGCTCAACCAACTGAGCCACCCAGGCGCCCGTTTCTAAGTTCTTAAATAGGGTATTTACTCTTTAATTCTTTGGGATCATAAAAGGAGATCATTCTTTGGGTTTTTAGATAAACTTAAACCACATATCTGTGAGTCATGAGTGAGTCTATTTTCCATAGTAAACATAAAGATCAACTTGTAATTCTGAACAAATTGTTCGGGTTTGAGCCCAGGATCTTGCTTGACATCCTATGTATTTTTAGCTGTGGTAAATGATAGAAGGAGATCTTTTTATGTAGAGCTTTGTTTATAGGCCCAGAATTTAGTGTTATGCTGCTAACAGGTGGTAGAAACTGAAATAAATTACTCAGAAAATTAGAATTGTCTTAATTTTTATTTTACTTATACTATCTTTAGGATAGAAATTTGCCTAAGATTATATAAGTGGTAGTGGGGAAATAACACATGGCTATAAATTACTGTATGTTCAAAGGCCATCACATATTTTACAGTAACAACCTAAAAAGTATATAGTAGATTTTACTTTTTTTATTTTTTGATAGATTTTACTTTTTTTATATTTTGATAGATTTATATGTACTTTGAGCCTCATGTTTAGTTGGCGATAATAGGTCCACCATTCCAAATCCCCAAACCCCTGAAAACTAGAGATTTTACTCTTTAGATTTTCACAAAAACTAATTTGATAGTAAGTTGTCAAGTTACTATTTATTGTACTTTGATTATCCCTAGAATATTAACTATATAATTCACTAAAGGATTGTTAATGTTTCTAAACAAATATAGGGTTCTTCCTTAGACCACTCTAGGAATATTATGTATATACATAATAAGTATATACATGCCCTATATTTCCTCTGTAGAATCCAAAAAATTAAGAATTCTAAAATATATCTGGACTCAGTGGTTCTAACTCAGGGTTTATAGACCTATCTATGTTTTCCCCCCTTTTTATTATACCTAGTAATAAAAAAAGAGTAGAAATAGCAGGTGCCAGGTGTAGGTGAAAACATCTCAAGCATCAGAATAAGTTATTTATTACATATAAATCCTCTTCAGAGCAAATAGGAGCTGGGTCTTATTCTTTGTGTCTTGTACCATGCTGTCCATATGGTAGGCACTCATTGACCTGTGTAATTGTCAATGACTACACAGTAGACCTATCTATCCAGTATTCCATTGCTTTTTACTGTGTGTACTTACTTAAGGTGGTGGAACAGTCTTTTTTTTTTAAAATGTTTATATCATCATCTTAGAAATAGTTCTGTTGTCTAGATCAATCATTTGTAAAAATGTTGAAGAGCACACTAGGGTTCTGACAGATTAACTCAGCAGGAAGGAAAGAGATTGAGTTCTAGGATCTGTTTTTTGTTCTTTTAAGACTTTTTAAAAATTCAAGTTAGTTCGTATGTAGTGTATTACTAGTTTCAGGGATAGAATTTAGTGATTCATCAGTTGAATGTAACATCCAGTGCTCATTGCATCAAAAAGGACAGTCTCCTCCTTAATGCCCATCACCCAATTACCCCATACCTCCAGGTACCTTCCCTCCAGCAACCCTCAGTTTGTTCCCTATATTTAAGAGTCTCTTATGGTTTGCCTCCCTCTCTGTTTTGATCTTATTTTATTTTTCCTTCCCTTCCCCTATGTTCATGTTTTGTTTCTTAAATTCCACATATGAGTGAAATCATACAGTATTTGTTTTTCTCTGACTTATTTCACTTAACATAAAACGCTCTAGTTCCATCCACATTGTTGCAGATGGCAAGATTTCATTCTTTTTGATGACTGAGTAATATTCCATTGTATATATACACCACATCTTCTTTATCCATATTTTGCTATTGTGGGTAGTGCAGCTATAAGTAATTGGGGTGCATGTGCCCCTTCAAGTCACTATTTTTTTTATCTTTTTTTTAAGATTTTTATTTATTAATTTGATGGAGAGAGAGAGAGATAGTGAGAGAGGGAACACAAGCAGGGGGAGTGGGAGAGGGAGAAGCAGGCTTCCCACTGAGCAGGGAGCCCAATGCGGGGCTCGATTCCAGGACCCTGAGATCGTGACCTGAGCCAAAGGCAGATGCTTTAACAAGTGAGCCGCCTAGGTGCCCCTATTTTTATATCCTTTGGATAAATACCTAGTAGTGTAATTGCTGGGTTGTAGGGTAGTTCTATTTTTAACTTTTTGAGGATCCTCCATACTGTTTTCCAGGGTGGCTGCACAGTTTTCTTTCCCATCAACAGTGTAAGAGGGTTCCCCTTTCTTCACATCCTTGCCAACATCTGTTGTTTTCTGAGTTGTTCATTTTAGCCATTCTGACAGGTGTGAGGTGGTATCTCATTTTGGTTTTGATTTGTGTTTCCCTGATGATGAGTGATGAGAATTTTTTCATGTGTCTGTCAGCCATTTGTATGTCTTCTTTGGAGAAATGTCTGTTCATGTCTTCTGCCCATTTCTTGACTGGATTATTTGTTCTTTGGTTGTTGAGTTTCATAAGTTTTTTGTTTTTAAAGATTATATTATTTGCCAGAGAGAGAGAGAGAGAGGGAGAGTACAAGCAGGGGGAGTGGCAGGCAGAGGGAGAAGCAGGCTCCCCGCTAAGCAAGGAGCCCGATGTGGGACTCGATCCCAGGACCCTGAGATCATGACCTGAGCCAAAGGCAGACGCTTAACCATCTGAGCCACCCAGGTGCCCCAAGTTTGATAAGTTCTTTATAGATTTTGGATACTAGCCCTTTATCTGATATGTCATTAGCAAATATATTCTCCCATTCTGTGGGTTGCCTTTTCATTTTGTTGATTGTTTCTTTTGCTGTGCAGAGCATTTTATCTTGATGAAGTCCCAATAGTTCATTTTTGCTTTTGTTTCCCTTGCCTCTGAGATGTGTCTAATAAGTTCCTACAGCCAACATCAGAGACGTTGCTGCTTGTGTTGTCCTCTACGATTTTGATGGATTCCTGTCTCACATTTAGCATTTTCATCCATTTTGAATTCATTTTTTGTGTGATGTAAGAAAGTTGTCCAGTTTCATTCTTCTGCATGTGGCCGTCCAGTTTTCCCAATGCCATTTGTTGAAGAGATTGTCTTCTTAACAGTTGAGGGTCCATTTCTGGGTTCTCTGTTCTGTTCCACTGATCTATGAGTCAGTTTTTATGCCAGTCCCATACTGTCTTGATGACAGCTTTATTTTTTTTTAAAAGATATTATTTACTTATTTGAGAGAGAGAGAGAGCATGAGCAAGGGGGAGGGGCAGAGGGAGAGGGAGAAGCAGACCCCCGGCTGAGCAGAGAGCCAGACATGGGGCTCAATCCCAGGACCCTGGGATCATGACCTGATCTGAAGGCAGATGCTTAACCAGCTGAGCCACCCAGTGCCCCTGATTACAGCTTTAATAGTACAGCTTGAACTCCAATTGTGATGCCTCCAGTTTTGGTTCTCTTTTCCACATTACTTTGGCTATTTGGGGTCTTTTCTGGCTCCATAAATTTTAGAATTGTTTGTTTCAGCTCTGTGAAAAGTGCTGGTGTTTGATAGGGATTGCATTGAATGTGTAGATTGCTTTGGGTAGCATAGACATTTTAACAGTACTTGTTCTTCTAATCCATAGGTATCGAATGTTTTTCCATTTCTTTGTGTTTTCCTCAACTTCTTTCACAAGTGTTCTATAGTTCTCAGAGTACAAATCTTTTACCTATTTGGTTAGGTTTATTCCTAGTTATTTTACGGTTTTTGGTGCAATTGTAAATGGGATCGATTCCTTGATTTCTCTTTCTGCTGCTTCATTATTGGTGTATAGAAATCCTACAGACTTCTGTGCATTGATCTTGCCACTTTGCTGAATTCCTGTATCAGTTCTAGCGAATTTTTGGTGGAGTCTTTCAGGTTTTCTACAGAGTATCATGTTGTATGTGAAGAGTGAAAGTTTGACTTCTTCCTTGCCAATTGGGATGCATTTTATTTCTTTTTGTTGTCTGATTGCTGAGGCTAGGACTTCCAGTATTATGTTGAACAACAGTACGGAGAGTGGACTTCCCTGTCGTGTTCCTGACCTTAGGGGAAAAGATCTGTTTTTCCCAATTGAAGATGATATTAGCTGTGAGTCTTTCGTCTGTGGCCTTTATGATGTAGAGGTATTTTCCTTCTGTCCCTACTTTCTTGAGGATTTTTATCAAGAAAAGATGCTGTATTTTGTCAAATGCTTTTTCTGCATCTCAACTGACTGAGCTACCCAGGCGCCCTGATGTTTTCAGTTTAATTTGCTTC